TAATAACAACAACCACATATCATAACCATAACTGTAACCCGAAACTATAACCACAACTACAGTTACAACCACAAGACCTTAACCCTACCCACACACCCCACAACCCACCCACAACCCCCTCCCCAAACCCACCCCACACCCCCACAAGCCCACAACTCGAAACTTACCTTTAACCTATTCTCACAGCAGGGCATCGCGGCGAAGATATCGAAGGAGTACATGGTGCCCAGGATGAGCGCCGAGCCGTTCCATCTGGCGTTGCAGAAGGCGCAGCGGAGGGACACGGACCAGCCCTCGAGGCAGCCCATGCACACCGCCGCCAGGTACTGCTGCCGCCCCTCCACCCGGACCTGTGGGGGAGGGAAGGGGGAGAGAGGAGGTTAGGAGAGTGCTGCGGGTGATGGGAGGGAGGGAGGAAGGAGGGGGGGAGATGTGGGGTGGTGGGGGAAGGGAAGAAGTGGTGGAGAGGGGAAGTGGTGGAGAGGGGAAGTGGGGGAGGGGGGAAGTGGGGAAAGGGGAAGTGGGGGGAAGGGGAGTGGGTTGGGAGTGAGATTCGGTGGGTTGTATGAGGCGAAGTGTCCGAACGAAATGAGTGAGATAGCAGGAGTGTAGGTTGGATGAAGTGAAGTGAGATGAAGATGGATGAAGTGAAGTGAGATGAAGTTGGATGAGGTGAAGTGGGATAAACATGGATAAAGATGGATGAAGTGAAGTGAAGTGAAGATCCGTAGGAAAAAAACAGGTGACGTTAATGAAGTGAGGTTCGTGGGAAGATTGACTGCATTCGGTGAAAGTGAGGAGGAAGAAGTGAGGTGAGAATTGGGCGAAGGAGGTTATAATGGTAATTTCTGAGGCGAAGTTAAATAAAATGGAATTGTGAGGAGTTAGGTGGACTGGGAGGGGGGGGCGGTGAGTGAAAAGGGTGTAAGTGCAAATTTGTAAGTCGTATGTTAGCAGTGTGTTGGAAGTTTTAGTAGCGTTGATGGTATCGACAAAATGGTGTGATTATCATGAAGAGAAATCAAAATATTGTAGGGGACAATTAAGTAAAGGATCTAAAATAATCTTTTCCTTTCTCTCTGTCTCTGTCTCTGTCTCTGTCTCTGTCTCTGTCTCTGTCTCTTTCTCTTTCTCTTTCTCTTTCTCTTTCTCTTTCTCTTTCTCTTCTCTTCTCTTCTCTTCTCTTCTCTTCTCTTCTCTTCTCTTCTCTTCTCTGTCTCTGTCTCTGTCTCTGTCTCTTTCGCTTTCGCTTTCTCTTTCTCTCTCTCTCTCTCTCTCTCTCTAAACAGAACTACAGACAGACACAGACAAATAGACAGTAGGATAAACAGATACAGCCAGCCAGACAAGACAGATAAATGGATAGATAGATAGATACACTGAAAGAAAGACAGACAGACAGACAGACAGACAAGATAGACAGATAGCTAGACAAAAAAACAATCAACGTAACGACACCGGCGAAGAAACATTAAATGCAAATAACAAATTAACTCAAATAAACAAGAAGCAATCAAGCTAAAACTGAAAGAAAACAAAGAAAGGGTCGACGGGCAGCCAGCCTTCGAAAGGTCAGAGGTTAACGGACGAAAGATGACTGCGAGGAGGGGGAGAGGAGGGGGGGAGGGGAGAGAGGGAGAGAGGGAAGGGAAGAGGGGAGGGAGAGGGGGGGAGCGGGGAAGGGAGCGGGGGAGGGGAAGGGAAGAGGGGAGGAGCAAGGCATGGAGGGGAAGGAGCAAGCATGGGGAGGAGAGGGAGAGGGGGAGAGAGGGAGAGAGGGGAAGGGATGAGGGGGAGAGAGGGAGAGGGGGAGGGGCAAGGGCATGGGGAGAGGAGGAAGGGGAAGAGGAGAGAGGGAAGGAAAGGGAGAGTAGTAGGGGGGCGGGAGGGGGAAAGGGGAACAGGAAGAGAGAAAGACGGAGAGTAAGAGAAAGGAGGAAATCAGAGAAAGGAGAAGAAGGAAGAAAGGAGTGAGAGGGGAAGAGAGGAAAGGGAGGAAAGAGAGAAAGAGGGAACGGGGAAAGGTGCAGAGAAAGGGAGTAGGAAGAGGAGGAAGGAACAGGGGTAGAAGTGGAGGACCAGGAAGAGGACCAGGAGGAGAAGGAGGAGGAGAATGGAACAGGGGTAGAAGAGGAAGAGGTGGAGGAAGAGGAGGAGGAGGAAGAGAAGGAGGAAGGAACAGGGGAAGAGGAGGAAGGGGAGGAAGGGGAGGAGGGGAGTAAGGGGGTAGGGGTAGGGGTAGGGGTAGGGGGGGTAGGAGGGGAAGGGAGGGGCGCGACCATTATGTAATTAAAAATGAATGATGGGCGCCAGACTGTGTGCTAGATGCTTAATGATGGTCGCTTCTAAATCAACATTTTTTTTTCATTTTATTTTATTTTATTTGTTTGTTACCTTTGTTTCGTTGGTTGCTAGTGGTTTCACTCTTTAGCCTTATCTTTCTGTGTATATTTACTTATCTCTCTTATCTTGTCTATCCTTCTTATCATTATTTGGTTGAATTAAGCTGCTTACTTATCGTTTTTCTCTATCTTTCTGTTTCTGTCTCTATCTCTATTAGCTTAATTTTCCAGTCTCTATTTTCTCTATTTTTCTTTCATCTTATGCCTTATCTCCTCCTCTTTCTTCTTCCTCTGTTTGAATATCTCCTACGCACTTCTTCCCTTTTATTCTTACTGTTCTTATCACCTCTTCCCTCTTTCTCTCTCTTGCTATCAACATGTGGACTTTTCCCTCTCATTCTTTGTATCTTTATTTTCCATTCTCTTTTTTTCCCTAATCTCCTCTCTCTCTCTCTTTCTCTCTCTTTCTCTCTCTCTCTCTCTCTCTCTCTCTCTCTCTCTCTCTCTCTCTCTCTCTCTCTCTCTCTCTCTCTCTCTCTCTCTCTCTCTCTCTCTTCTTTCTTTCTCTCTCTTTCTCTCTCTCTCTCTTTCTTTCTGTTATTCTCAGTTTTTTTCCCTCTTCCTATTTCCTATTCCTCTTTCATTTTCTTCCCCTTTGCCTCCTCCTAAATTTCACTTATATTAGCTCTCTTCCCTTTTCCATTTCCCTCTCATCTCCTATTTCACCTTTTACACCATCTTTCGCACCCGTTCTTTTTTTCATCTCTCTTCCTATCTCCCTCATCCCTTCCTATTTCTCCCTCTCTCTCTCTCTCTCTCTCTCTCTCTCTCCACTAACTCACCGCTTTTTCGCTTTCCTCTCCTTTCTCTCTTTCCTTTTCCTCTCCCCTTTTCTCACCCTTTTCCCTTTCTCCTCTCATCTCATCCTAACCCTTTCCCTTTTCTCCTCTCATCTCTCATTTCTCACCCTTTTCCCTTTCTCCTGTCTCCTCTCATTTCTCACCCTTTCCCCTTTCTCCTCTCATCTCTCACCCTTTTCCCCTTTCTCCTGTCTCCTCTCATTTCTCACCCTTTCCCCTTTCTCCTCTCATCTCTCATTTCTCACCCTTTTCCCTTTCTCCTGTCTCCTCTCATCTCTCACCCTTTTCCCCTTTCCCCCTCGTCCACTCTCTCGTTTTCTCCCCTCCTGAAGGTTCACTCATGCAAACGACCGGCCGACACACAGCATAAATGAGGGACCTTCCGGTTCTAAAAATTACCTCCTATTTTCCCCTCTTTCTTTCTCTCTCTCTCTCTCTCTCTCTCTCTCTCTTTTCCCTCTTTCTTTTTCTCCCTTTCCCCTCTTTCAGTCTCTCTTGTGCTCTCTTGTGCCCCCCCTCCCTCTTTTTACCTCTCTCTGTCTCTATCCCCCTTCAGTCTCTCTCTCTCTCTCTCTCTCATTCTCTCTCTCTCTCTCTCTCTCTCTCTCTCTCTCTCTCTCTCTCTCTCTCTCTCTCTCTCTCTCTCTCTCTCTCTCTCTCTCTCTCATCATCTTCATTTCTCTTTTGTTATTGTTTTGTTTTGTTATTTTTATTTTTTCTCTTCTTTTTCTCTTATCATTTTAATCATGGTCACCATCACTAACAATACTTATCTAACGTTTCTCCTTGACGATGAGGATGAAAATGAGAGATGATGATGATAACGACGAAAAATGAGACTTAGATAATGATTAAGAGGAAGACAACAACAAAGCAAGTAAAACAAACACACAAAAAAAAAACAAAAAACATACACACAATAGAAACCCGATAACCACGTCCCCATTTGTGACCAGAAACAGACACGAACATCTGTCCTTATCACTAAGGACTTGCTATTTTTGCCCTGATAAGCAGAGACGAGCAACAAAAGCTGTGGCATACTAAAAGGATGTCATTATCATTTTTGCGGTTAAATCTAGTTCACTCTTCCTGCGTCTCGGCCGTCACGTTCATGCTTACAGGCACGTAGAGGCAAGTGCATTCGCAGAGAAATGCGTAGATAGACATGAATATAGGTATAAACACAAATACATAGCTATATAAGAAGATGAGGACATATGCACAAAGGATAGACGCATTGATACAGTTGGCTACAAACACCCATATGATTTCGCTTACACACTTATTACAAACACACCTAATTCTTATATCTAAAAGACACAAAGAGACGCACACACACACACACACACACACACACACACACACACACACACACACACACACACACACACACACACACACACACATATTATATGTATATATATGCATATACACATAGAACATGAAAAAAATAGAACAAATAACCAGAGAAAACCGCTTCGAACTCACGGGTACGGCCGATTTGGCATGCTGGATGGGCGTGAGGAAGAAAGTGCCATCCAACAGCGGGTAGCGGTCGAACACCAGCAACGACTGATGGCACAACACGCAGGCCGTTCTGGATGACCTCTGACCTGCTAACGTGGACAGGATGAAGCACCGGGTGTCATCGTTGCCATGCAGGCCGTCATCCTCCATCTGCGGGGGAGAAAGATACGGACAAGGAGCAAACGCTAGTCTTTGGATCGATAGTTTGAAATGGTCTTTTTTTTTTTACCTTTTTTTTTGTTGTTGACTTTTTTTTTGGTCTTTTTTTCTTTTTTTTCTTTTTTTTTTTTGGTCTTTTGATTTTTTTTCGTCTTTTATTATTTATTTATTTATTTTTTTTTGTCCTCTGATTTTTTTTTTTTTTTGTGGATATTGAAGGAAGGATGGAATGGATTTATTTTTAATGAATTTATGAAATGAAAATTGGGTTATAGCGGTTCGTTTGGCTTCATGAGAGAAATGAAAATGGTAAATATTAGTTATATATATATATACATTGCTCAATTAAGTTCAATGACTAGATTAGGTTTACGTGTCAGCGAATGTAGAATGTAGAAAATGCTATCATTATATCTGCATATTGATTGCAATACAGTCCTCAATAGAGTGCTAAAAACAATACTTTGAAATCTTTCCTCTTACAGACATTGATAAATGAAAAGAAATTCGAGAGCTATATATACTAGATAGATCCTAGAAAGAAAAAAAAGGAATTCGAAAAATAAAATCAAAATAAAGTTCTTTGAATTAGAAACTTACAATATTTCCTCCCCAACCGCCTTTCTTTCTTCTCCCTCAACCCCTTCCCCTTCCTAATTCCCCTCAATTCCCCGTTCTCCTTCCCTCTCCCTTTTCCCTTTTTTATCCCTCCCCCCTGTCCCTATTCCCTCCCCCCCTCTCCCTATCCCTTTTCCCCTCTCCCTCTTTCTATCCATTTTCCCCTCTCCCTCTTCCCTCACTCTCCCTTTTTCCCTAACCCTCACCCTCTCCCTTTTCCCCTCTCCCTCTCCCTCCCCCTCTCCCTTTCCCTTTTCCCCTCTCCCTCTCCCTCTCCCTCCCTTTCCCCTCAGCCAAAGTGATATCCTTCCCTCTCCCGTCGGTCCTTCATTCACTAGCCTGCGCAGCTTTAAATCGCGGGCGTGTGTGGGCGCGATTGAACGAATTGTTTTGACATTTAGGAATAAAAAAAAAGAGGAATTTCGATGAATATGATTTTTCTTTTTTTTTTTGTGTATGGATATGCTCGAGATCTTTTTTTTTTTTTTTTTTTTTTTTTGAGTAAATGTATTTCTAAAATTTTGTATTTTTTTGGAGGGTCGTATATGTTTCCTGTTTTTTTCTTTTTTGTGTGTGTGTGGATTTTCTTGAGAGAAGAAAAAAAAAACTGCAAATAGAGACAAGTTTAATAAGGAAATTTAAACTGAATAGTCAGAATATTATCACTCTCCCTATCTCCCCTTCCTTTTATCTATCTATGGTCCCTATCTCGTTTGCTTCAACTCCCACGTTTCATTAATATTCACACGGCTTTTGGATGCTGCAAAGGAGCGCCCGAGATAAATATAGATAGCCGACGCAGCTTGATAATGCAGAGCAAATAAACATTAAGTCAACAAGGCCGTTGCCCGTGACGTCATTGCAGGGTCGTTGCCATGGTTACGAAAATCGACATCCAGGTTGTTGTTGTCCTTTCAATGTTTTTTTTTTTTTTTTTTTTTTTTCTTGTTTCTTATTTCCTTTTTCTTGTCTCGTTTTATTTGTGTTTTGATTCCGATGCTCGACACAAGACTCAATCGTCGTGAATATTTGAATAAGATTAGAAAGATTGGAAAGATGTCCGTGATATTGAAGTTGTGAATGCAAGTCCTCTTTTATTCCATTAATCTTCGGTCGCAGTGAGATTCGAAAATGAAATACTGATATTCTATTTATCACAGAAGTTCGTTCAAAGAAGATAAATAAAACATAGGTTACGTCCGCATCGCCACGTATATTAACATCATCACATTTAAAATGCCGTTTGCAATAGAAAATCTGAATATAAATACACATCCTCTTCATTATCCATATTTAATAATTGAAATAACGAACTTGATCAAGTTTTTATTTATTTTTTCTTAAAACACAAAGGGAAAAACGATCAGCTTTTGCCCATCCGAAACTTGGTTCCGTTTCCGTAAATAGAAAAAAAAAGTATATAGTACTAAAGCTATATTTCCCTAAAGAGATGGGAAGGAAGAAGAGAGTAGCAGAAGAAGAAGAAGAAGATGAGGTATAAGGGAAGGGGAGGAGGAGGGGGGGGGGATCTGGGACTGAGGTAAGGATAAGGGTGAAAAAAATATATATATAGGAAATACAAAGGCGGCGAAGAGTAGAAGAAGAACAAGAAGAAGAAAGGAAGAAGAACAAGAAGAAGAATTAAAAAAAACAAGAAAGGGAGATAAAGGATGAGAAGGTAAAAAAGTAAAAAATATATATATATGAAAAAAATAACAGATATATATATATATATATATATATGTTTTCCCCGTTATGTCAGTAGTTCTTATTTCATAGCTGGCCTTTCTCTCGCTGGTCGTAGATAACACCTCTCGCGTAAGCCCAGGCGGGGGCGACGGACGAATCTCGAGGAAGAGGAGAGAAAGAAAGAGGGGAAGGAAGGAGGGAAGGATGGGGGGGGGGGGGGAAGGGAGGGAGGGAAGGATAGGGGGAGGGGGGAAGGAAGGGTGCGAAGGGGAGGAGGGAAGGATGGGGGGGGAGGGGAGGAGGAGGGAAAGGTGGGTGGGTGGGAAGGAGGAAGGAAGGGGGGGAAGGGGGGGGGAGGGAGGGTGAGGAGGAGGGAACGATGGAAGGAGGGAAAGGGTAGACGGGAGAAGTGGGGAAGAGGGAAGGAATGGGAAAGGAGGGAGGAGGTAGGGAGTAGGGGAGAGGTTGGAAGAGGTGGGAGGAGGGAATGGGGGGGGGGAGGGTAAGGAGTTAGGAAAGGAGGAGGAGGAGGAGGAGGGAGAGAAGGAAGAAGTGTGGTGAGATTCGTCCTGAATAATCATTACGGTGACGGATGGCAAGATTGGTGGCATCTGCTGATCAATTTATTTTTATTTAATAGTTGTTTATGGCGTTATTATTTCTTTTTAATTTGTTGTCGTATTTCGAAAACTTGTATTTGTGGATTAACGTAAATACAGATATATATAATTCATTTTCGTCTTTTCTAAATAACCTTTCTAAACCTCTCTCTCTTACCTTTTCCGTTTTTTCTACTTCAAGCTTTCTAAAATAAAAACCACGACGATTAGCGAAACAAAGCGAAAACCTGCCATGGAAAACACACCCACAAACCGTTCTCTTTCCGTAAAATAAAAAAAAAATCTAACATTAAAGGGACAGAGGAAAGGCGACTGAGAGGGACGAGGACCGAGGGAGAAAGAAACGAGGGGGGGAAGGGAGGAAAAAAGAGGGGAGGAAAAAAGGGATGAAAACCAGAAAAGGACAAGATGTTCTCCTAAGGATGAGACTCAGGAATAAGGAGAAAATAAGGATATCCCTGTCTGTGAGCCCCGGGCCGACTTTCTGAGGGAAAGTGCCCGATGGACACCGTCCTGGCTTTTCTCTCTCTCTCTCTCTCTCTCTCTCTCATACACTGTTGTTGGTACTACTGTTGTTGTGCTGCTGTCGTTTTCTCTCGCTCAGGTTAGAACGCGCGAACCCAGCGGGGGGAGGAATTGGGCGAATCTCCAACGAAAGGAAGGAGTAAAGGTGGGGAGAGAGAGAAGATAGGTGGAGAAACGGGAGGAGGAGAGGGAGGCGAAGAGAGGAAGGGTTGCTAAGATATGAGATTCGCCCTTTTGTGATTACGGTGAGAGGGGCGGTCGGTGGGGCCATGGCACGTTTTTCTCAATGATTGTAATAACGATAACGAGTGTGACTTTATGAATCAATGTTGATAATAACGATTTTTAAAAGGAGATAAAAAATAGGTACCGAAATCGCAATATACTTTTTCGATATGTTATAAGGCTCCAAAAATAAATAAATAAAAGTACTGGAATGAGTCCTCGTGGCTTGTCAGCTTCCTCGTGTTTCCACAAGATCGATTCCCTAAGAAGAGAGGAAGAAAAACAAAACGTCGGAAGAGAAATGAATGAGGAAATAAGGGAAGATAGAAGAACGGATGGGGGGGAGGGGATAGGACTATGGGCAGGGGAAAGGGGGAGGAGGGGGAGGAGGAGGAGGAGGAGGAGGAGGGGAATAGGTAGGTAGGATACACAGGATAAAATAACGAAGGATAAGAAAAGAAAAAAAAAAGAAACGGTGAGGAATATAATCAGGAAGAGAAGAAGAAAGAAAAAAAAGAGGAATAACAAAAATAACCCAAGTGTATTAGGAGGCTGACTCCTGCATCGGGACCCCGTGTTGTCACAGAGAGCTCTCGCTGTAGTATACCGTAGCAAGCCAACTTTCTGAGGGAAAGTGCCTGGTGCTTTCAGTCGACACCGCGGATAGGCCCGAGCGGGGGGCGGGTTGCAAATCCGTCTGGGATAAAAACAGGAAAGAAAGAAGAGACAGAGAGAAGGGAGAAAGAAGGGGGGGAGAGGGAGAAGGAGGAGGGGGTTGGTAAAGGTGGGAGGGAGATTGGGAATGAGGGAAGGGTTGTGGGGAGGAGGGGAAGGGATGGGATAAGATAAAGGAGACAGAGAAAGGTGAGAGAGGGAGTAAAAGGGACGGATTTGCGAGCTAATTGTGGTAACAGTCGGAAACAGACAGACGTGGACTCATTCTCTCGCAAAAAGAAGAAGAAAAAAACAAAGAAAAAAAAACGGGGCGTTATTTTCACGCGCAGATGCATAAGAATAAAGTCACGGGAAAAAAATAGATTGCACGAAAACAATGGAAGTTAAAGGTGACGATGACGAGTTATAATTCCCTGAACAAATGAACGATTCGTGATAAAGCATCTTTGTGTTCCGCTGTGCTGGTCGAGGGAAAGAGAGAATCGCGCTTCAGTAGGAAATCCCAAATACTTTACTGCTTTTTTCCAAAAAAAAAAAAATGTTCGAGAAACAAACGTCTTTTCATCATCAACCTACGAGTACAAATCTCCAGAGAATGACCTGACCTTTCTTACTGACCAATTCACCTGCGGACATTCCAACATGTGATCCATTTCCACAAAGTCATTATCCACCTACGCAGGTAAAGAGACGGAGTAAATGAAGAGGGTAAGGAAAAAATAATAAAGGGTTGAAAACATATCGAGTCACTAATGCA